GCGGCGGTGAGTGTGTGCGGGGCGCGGCGGCGGTTCGCGTCCCTGCTCCCCCCTCTCCTTTCCCCGCCCCGGGGGTCCCCTCTCCCCTCCGCGCATCCCCGGGGGCCGCACCGGAGGGCGAAGAAGCGCCCACCCGGGGGCTGGGGATGGGGGGTGCGGGGGACAGCGCGGGGGCCCCCCCCCGGTCGGGGATGGGGTCCGCCTCCCGGCTATTGTCTACGGGCTGGGGAACAATATGGGGAGCAGCCACCCCGGGGGGGTCTGCCCGGCTCGTATCCCCCGGGTGGGGAGCTCGGGGGGGGCGGCCGCGGGGTCGGAGCATCTCTGCTCCCGCAGCGACTCCGGAGTGCGTTGCTCCGGAGTGGAGGGGCCACCTGAGCCGTGCTGGGGTCCCACCCGCCGGGGACCCCCTGGGCATCAGCCCTCCCACCCGCCTGGCACTGCCGGCCGGAGGGGTGTAATCGGTTGGCATGGAAAAATGTCTGGATGAGGATAATACTGAGCCCCGTTCCTAAAGCCGGACGGTGGATGCAGGGGAAGGGCTGAGCGGGGAGAAGGGTGTAGTAAAGCAAAGTCAAATTTCCCCCTGAATCCTGCAGCCGGGCCTAGTGGGCACCGATGCTGTATCAGGGTGGGGAGGAAAAGGGGGGAGGGAAAGGAGTTTTGGGGGCTGCAGTCTCTGAGGCTGGTATATGGGAGGAAAGGGAAAAGAGCTCCAGATCTTTCCTCCTCCCCCCAGAGTTACTAGGACTGAGATATGGATCGTTAAAAAGGAGTAGCGTAATGCAATTAAGCGTTAGACAGTCCCCACTGCAACACTTATCCATTGTTCCTCGCTCTACCTTCTGCCAGAACGGTTCTCGTCTGGACAAGAGAAGTATAATTGAACAAATAGTTCATTTCCCCGGCCAATTGGATCCGTAGTCTCTCTCCTGAATCTGCTGCTGGCTGGCTGCAAACGCAGCAGCATCCTCAGACAGAAACGGAGAACCGGGACCCTCTGGTGAGACTCCTGCTGTCACGGGCTATCTGGCAAGAGCAGCTCCGAGCTTCTGCTCGCCCGAGTTGGTTCTGATGGCAGCAGCAGAGCAGGTTTACTCCTTCCCCTCTCGGTCCTCTTCTCTTCCTTGTGATGGGGGGGTGTGAAGAAGAAAAATAACAGGTGGTGAGGCAGGTCCAGCCTGCGACTAGAAGATGCTACGTGTGGTTCAGGCAAGTCCTCTCCTTTCTGTAGTCTGTCTCTTAACTTTCTCTTTACCCGGGAGGAGAAAGGCTTTCAAGGCTGTTCTGAGGTGATGGTGTTCTGGTGGACTTTGCCAGCCTGTCCTTCAGCCGGTGCCCGTGGTGGCTAGGTGCCCTGCAGAGCTCACACAGAGCCTGAGGCTCCTGCTCTTTTCTGAGGGCTCTCTGAGCAGCTGGAAGGGCTGCGGCTGCCCCTGGGCCCCATGGCACACTCTTGGCTGGAGGCTGCGTCCTTCCTCCTGGAATCTCCTCCTGGTTCCCAGCAGAGCTGAGCGCGTGGGTACGCGCGGGTGCATTCTCTGCACCGCTGAGAGACTCCCTCAACACTGGGAGGCTGCTGCTTTTCCTCGCTTCTGGAGCTTTTTATCACAACTCCGCATCATGCAGCCTTCCTCCTCCTGCTCTTCTGCCTCTCCTCGTTCTTCTTTGTCTGTAGACTGCCGCCTGTCCCGCTTCACTCTCAGCTTCTCCTTCCTCTTTTCCTGCTTAATCCATTCTTTCACCTCGGTTTCTTTTTCTCTAAGTAGACCTTGTCCTCTTCAGCCTGCTCCTGTCAACACTGGAGAAGCAGCCCAGCCCCTCATCTCAGTAGGAGTATTCCTGCCAACTGTTTACAAAAAGTAGCACAATACCCAGGCTGAACACTGACATAATTACATACCCAGCCAGAGAGTGTAGTAAATAATCCTGCCTTTCAAGCTTTTGCCCAGTGGTGGGTCTTTTGCTGTCTCCTTTGCCCGTGGGCTAAGTGTATTATATTTGCTTGCATTTACTTATATTCTGGAGACACGAAGTCAGTGCACAGATAACGTGGTATCAAAGTGGTTGTGCGCTGATGTCTTGCACCATATACACTTTCTGTGCCCGTACACGTCGTGTGTCTGAGTATGCATCATCCAGTTCTGCTCCTGGGTTCAGGCTTTGGCAGTCGTGCTTGGCAAGTGCGAGGGCTGCCAGGGAAAAGAACCATTGCTGAGGTGTAGATATTGTTCCATCAGAGAAGGAAAGATGGCCGTGGGTTGAAGGTCAAGAGTGCCAGCAAAAAACACAGGGCTTGGCTGGCCCTATTTGCATTGTTTAGGGTGCTAGCCAGTTTTCCAAGGATTTGTGTGTACATAGGATCACAGACTGTGGGGATTGTCAGCACAGCTGTACTTCCAGTTGTGCTTGTGAGCCGGAGTCTGTCTGCAGTTGCTTTGGTTGTGAGTCAGTCCGTCTGCAGTTGCAGTAGCTGTGAATCAGTGTCTGCCTGTAATTATGTGGGTGAATCAGTGTTGGCTTGTTACACTTTGAGTGCAAACGGTTTCCTGTAGCGGTTGTGGGTGTGAATCACTCTACAGTCCCTCTGGATGTGTTTTTGAGTAGAGAGATGCAATACTGGGATTAATTTTGTTTTGATGAGGAAAAACTGTCAATCGGCGTCTCATTTTGAAAAATTAAAGCTGTTGGGAGTTGGGTGCCGAGCTTGTTTCTCCATTACCAGCTTCCTGCAGAAGAGATTCACTTTAAGGCTTGCTCCCAAGATTTCCATGTTGATCTGAACCTTTAATTTCTTTGCTTTGTGCCGCCGGTTCCGAGTATCCTGCTCTGTTGGCATCTCTTGCAGAGCTGCAGACAACGCGTTTGGAAACCGTCACGTGTGCCTCGTACCTTCTGTGCGTGGCAGATTCATGGGAAGGTTGTTTATGGCTTGTGCAGTGCGTGTGTTTGTGGGGACGAGCCAATGTGTGCCTCTCGGGTAGGTAAGCACAAACATTTTCGTGCTGGCAAGTCGAAGGCTGTGTGGTTCCTCTGCCACGTGCCTCTTGCTGTGAGCCAGTGCCGATTTTCGTGCTGGCGAGTCGAAGGCTGTGTGGTTCCTCTGCCATGTGCCTCTTGCTGTGAGCCAGTGCTCTTTCTCTAAGTAGATGGTAAACCACAAGTTTGATTTAGGTAGGTGGAGGTGCTGCTGCCTCTTCCTTCTTCTCTGATTCCTACAAAAGGCTGTAGTAGCTTCTGGCCTTCAGCAGCATCTGTAGGGCATAAAGCAGCACAAAACTGGGAGGCAAGTTGGAGAAATCTGGGCTATCTCTGATGATGGGAGTGGAGCACTCCCCTCGGTCCAGGCTACAAACCAAGGCTTCCCCTGGGCTGGCTGGTGTGGGCAGAGCAGGATGCTGGCAGGGCTGGGCTGGCTTGGGTGTCTCTGCTGGTGTTGTGCAGCGTTATGTGTCCATCCCAGTCAGCTCCTTCCAGAACAAAAGGATGCAGCGGGACAAGGGGTCTTGTGAAAAAACACGGTGTCTTATTCCATCACTTCCAGGTTTCCACATGAACCGTGTCTGCCCATGCCCTCAGATAAAAAGACAGTTTTGTTCCAAGGGACCCTCCTTTTTAGCTGAAGTGATTGGGAACTGACGCAAAACCTCTCCAACAGGGACACAGGGCAGCATGTGCATCGCCTGCATTTATTGCTGCTGCACTGGCTGCCCAGCCCTGCAGAGAGCTTGGAGCTTTACCCAGAGGAGCACTAGAAGAGGCATAGCAATGGTCAGGGCTGGTGTGCTCACAGAGGATTGGGGACAGTTGGGCAGAGCAGAGCCTGTGCAGTTTGGACAGGTTGGCAATCCTTGAGAGGTGTCGCAGGACCTCTCCTGATGCCTGGGACCTGTTTTGCAGAGGCTCCAGTGCAATGAGGAAGGGCTTTAAGGGGCTTCTTGTGCTGTGCAAGGGCACCTGACTTTGGGGATAAATATGCAGGTGTTGTGAGGTCACCTAGAACGCTGTGTTTGGCTGTGCAGGTGGGTGGACGTGCTTGGCACCCACCAGGTCTAGATCACCCTCTCCTCCCGGCATGGAACTGCTTGTATGTGGGCTTTTGGACTGAGGCTGCCTCTAGTTCCCAGTTTGTTTTCCAGCTGGATTCCCAGCATCAGCTCCTCATCACACATCCCTCCCTGAGATACCTGACTTGGCAAAGCTGAGGAGCAGCTGCAGGTCCTGGGGGCTGTGGGCTGAGTGGGAGCTGTAAGTGCTCAGCTCTCCTTCAGCTGATGCCACTGGAGTAGGTCCGTGGTGTGTGGGCTTGCTGACCTAATGGCACTGCAGGTACACAGCATCTCTGGGTGCAGCAATGGGGCAAATATGTCCTTTGGGCCACCCCATGAACGCTGCCTGCATGGGGAGACTATTGCTCAGTGAATCAGAGTGTTCCCGTGGCTGTGTGTTTTCCAAGAAGGCTGTAATTTGGGGGAGATTCTGATTGACTCTC